TCATTTTATGAGAGAGAGAGAGAGAGAGAGAGAGAGAGAGAGTTTAGTATTAATTTATGACCAAGGTGATACTCACTGGGAGGTTCACCGCTTTCCATGGCGTCCAACTCCATGATAAATACGAAGATAATTAGCCATAAAATCATGATTAAAATAAGGTAAATGGTATGCAAAGTGATCTTGATCAACGATAACATCACGTCACTTTTTATGGCTTTTGTAATCGACATGTTTATCAGTTTATTCGTTTATAATTATAACTATATAACTTAAAACAACCACGTTTTAAAACACAATACATAAATTAGTTATGTAATTAAACTTGTAGAATTTATTTAAATATTTATTACAACATTTACATATAAATTAATATAATATAACAATATTTAGTTATGAAGTTTCAGTTATTATAATAAAAATGTGGTGTTTTTTGTAGAAATTTTAATACTCTCTGTATTGAAATGAATAGAAAATTAATGTATTTCTGATTTTATAACACGTTTTTGTAATTTATTATAAATTATATTTTGGTTACACATTATCTATCACTGGATTAGTAACACATATGTATGTAATTGTCATTAGTGTACAGAATATTTATATATAATTGTGATTATTATTATTAAACATAAACTTCTGTTTCTCTCTCTCTCTCTCTCTCTCTCTCTCTCGACATAATTTTTTAAACACATTTATTGTCTGAATTCATTGTTTCAAAAATTCATGTGAATTAATACAATATTCAAACACCAAAATACACACACATTTAAACATTCATATATCTGTATAAAACATGTATGACATTTAGAAATATGTTTACAACACTTTAACGCATATTTTTACAATTGTATAAAAATAATCATAAATAATTTAAATAAAGTTTAATTTAATAATAAAATGTTCCTGGATGAAAAGCACAAATTTGTTGCACAGGCGTGAGTGCGCCAAACAAAATCTATCATGGTCTATTATGTAAGGCTTGTAAATAAACTAGATAAATAAAATGAAAACAGATTGCGACCGGGCCAGTTTTATCTTAATGAAAATATCACTGTCGCTCATTCACCTATCGCTCGGGTTGTCGCTATCGGTTCTGGCCGTACAGGTCTTCGCCGGGTGCGACTCGTGTGGCAGCGACTATGACTATGACATCGACACTATCGGTAAACAGATAATCAATGGCCAGAATTTTAAACATGGTGTTAACACCAGGGTTTACATACCCGGTAGGTCTATCAGGCGGACTGACAATAGCTGTCGCGGTGGCCATGGAAGCGGTAGCCGTGGCCGCCATCATTGCCGACAGCCAATCAACGCTTGTCGTGTACAACGTGGTGGCGGCCGTCGGACAGGTGGCCATTATTGTCCACTTCGAGACCGAGGCGTCGGTAATGGGCGCCACTGTTATCTCACTGACCGCTCTGTATGGTTACGCGTTGGCCGACCGGACTCGTAGACTGGCGGCCGAGTCTCGGGTGTCATGTTTTCAAGTAAATTTTGTTTAAAATAATCGATGTAAATGTCGATACAAACAATTTCTGCCTTTATGAAAATTGCTTTATTTGATTATGGTTAACACAATTAAATGATTAACATTACAAACATGTGCTTTGATTAAATGCTATGTTTAATTAAACTATAGTTAAATTTTTCGTTATATAATTGTGACTATAATTGTATAGTTTATAATAATACCGGTATTTAACACACGCTTATAATTGGTTATAATGGATACATAGTTATAGTAAAATAGTTATACCGGTAATAGTTTTATACAGTAAATACTTATAATACATATACAAACAGAAAATACTTTGTTTCAAATATATTTACAGTTATAGGCAAATAAGGGAAGAATTAATTAATTAATAATAATAATAAATATAATAACAATAAATATTTATTACAGAAAAATATATTTCATCAAAATAATGTCATTATAAGGCATTCGAGTATTAACTTAACAATTAATTATTTAATTATTGAAAAAATATAATTATATCTTATATTAATCCCATCTTTAAGATAAGGACTTAACGGGAAATTCAATCACTAATTCTTCCAATGATTAGCCGGAAGGAAGAGCTGAAGGGAGAGGAGTCCAACATTGCGAAGAAGGAGTGGGAAGCCGTGCAGACCATCACCGAAGAGATTGAACACGAGAAGAAAGTG